CTTGCTTCCTCGTGATAGATGCTAAGTTTAGACGTTGCGTCGTTTTGTTTACACGACAGTCACAGTAGTAAAAACGGAAACAGATTTTTGATATATGTTAAGTTTATAAAAAAGTTTCCGGTTTAGAACTGTGTACGTTATTAAGTTTAAAGGTCGTAGCTCATTAGAGCCACCCGACACCCGACCAGCACTGCCTTGTTTGTTAAAGCAATTTTCTGCTCCTTAATCACAATAGAACTTGGAAGCTCTGGTGCACCTCAATTTACTGTTAAACTATGTTCGTGACTAGCGATTTATTTTTGTGAACTGTTTGACAAAAATAAACAATTTTTTTATAACCATCATCATTTCCTCCATATCGCTAAGGATTTCGACCGTCTGACTGACACCAATCACCTTTGGAAATGAGTCGCGTGCGAATAGGTAGAAATACAAACAAAACTATAAATCTATCATACAGATTTTAATAGAATTCAATTTTTATATGTATACGAGTAGTATAAATCTAGCGTGACTCGTGTGAGAATATTAAATGAAAACAAAACAGATAAGGAACATAAATAAGGTAAGTGATACGTCTCGTACAGTTGGTGACTACTGGGAGATCATAACATTAAAAACAATAACAAACTGGGAGCTTCTAAGTATAAAGGGTCAATGGCATTTTATTAATAATAATATAAAAACTTGAGACATCTCACATACGACCATGTACTCCTTTTTTTTTCCAATCCCCAACTACGCAGACACTATATCATATTCATCAGACTAAATATAATATCTAAATGTTACTGTAAAAGCCCGAACTACGGTAAAAACTAAGATTTACCGACAGTATATAAGTATTAATAGAAAGGGGAACAATTTTTCGGACTTTACCATTAGAAACTGGTAATGCTAGGTTTTACCAGAGGCGGTTGGTAAATGTTGGTTGTGGGATGAAAATAATAAGTACTTTAAAGTAAAATTTGGGTTAGGTTAGAAGTAGGTCAGTTAACTCTATTAGAAAGAAAGAAAATTTATTGGCACATGCAAAATTCCTTACAAAAAGTGCCAATAGGTCTGCAGCTCAGCATACTGTTGGATGGCCACAGGTGCCTTCCAACGCTGGTTTTCAGCTGCGGTCCATAAGACTGGGTGTTGTCTGCTCGAAGCCATTCAAGTGTATGATTGTGTGCGTGTATCTTTATATATATAATTCTTCTGTGAGTGTGTATGTCACTGAACTTATATATTAATTATTGAATATTATTTATTAATTATTTAATATATATTAATTAAATATTAATATTAATTATTGTTGGTGAAACATGTCTGTTTATCCACATTTAACGTGTATTTGAAGTAAATCTTAAGCCTTACCCAGTGAATGGTGGTAAATGCTCGAAATTCGGACTTTTACCATAATTAGTTGGTACAGGCAGCAGCAGCAGGCTTTTACAGTAATATGTATATTATACTAGACAACTTTCAAACGGACACAGAACAAATGATCGTGCTTATCACACAATTTTTTGGTCCGGATAAAGATCGAATCCGCGGCCTCTGGAAAATCTCAACCATTTGTTGTATCCAAGTCTAATTTATTTTATCTACAGTATATATATGTGTGTGTATTTAGTAATATATAAGTATGTATAGTAGCAGTCTGGTTGCTATAATACAGGTTCTTCCTAGTTTGAGATAGGACTACTAAGTATTAGGTGTTCCAAGTTGTTTTTACTTATTATTACAGTTATTTGGCTCAAAATTTAACAGTGATATAACATACATTAAAATATAGAACACAGTTACCAGCGATAACGTGGCCTAAAAAATTATCGATTCCCTTCTATCGTTCGCTTTCATAAGACACTTACTGATGTTTGATTTCTTGCTTTACTTTACTGATTACGGAGCAGATTTTTACGTGAGTCATTGTTATGAATACGAAACATTTATTTAATATGATGACTGATGATAATAGAAAAATCAAGGTCACTGATATCACACTACTAAGGCAACAACAGGCTACAAGGGTATTTTCTATATAAACAAAAGAAGAAACAGAAAACAGTTGTCCATATAAACCTTGTTACAAAAGGAATAAAACGATAGCTAAAGATGTAAAGTGGTAAACAACCTTTTTTCTATCCTTCTGTACACATTTTTTCCGTTTTTACGAGACCCAACTCAAAGTAAGTAGGCTTTATAGAAAAAAAGAATTATCAAAATGAAAACCTTAAAAGTTATGCGTGTTAAAGTCTAAGGATTTTTTTTTTCTCCGTTTTTGCAACATGTTTAATTGATGCTCGGTTTCTATTGGTGGTAGGGTGTTACATAGCCTTTGGTCTTCCTCGATAAATGGACTATCCAACATTAAAATAATTATTGAATTCGATAGTTCCTGTGGTTAGCGCGTTTAACCAAACAAAAAGAAACTACAGCTTTATAATAATACTAGTATAGATTTCAAATTTTAAAATACTTCAGTATGTGCAGGTAAACTCTCTACGTCGTAGGTGTCCAGAAAACACGTTCTGAATTATCGGAATGATCGTATTTAAGTGTACAAAGTAATATCATATTGTAACTAAGGACTTGCGTAACATTAGAACGCTCCCAATAATATCCTATTCTTTGTAATAGTAAACCTACCTGGCTTTAGAACACCCATCGTGGTTCACAATACACCATCAACTGATCTATAGGACACCACTTCCTACTATCATCGCATGGAAGTTACCAGGCATACATAAAAGGCGATACAGTTACACGTTCGTAGAGCATACGTAATGATTATTGTCGTAATTTGCATCATCGTGTTATATCGGATGAGGCATAACGTTGGGCTTTGAGATTTTATTAGCGCATCTACGTGATCTCGATGGTATTTTAACATTGTTAAATCATAAGACGACAGGCAAAACGAAATGAACTATATTTTTTAAATTAGTGTAACTTTTTTTATAATATAAATTCTTCTTTACTGATTGTTTTGAAATTTTAACTTTACGTTTTATTCATATACGCTTATGTTCTTATTAAACTAGGCGATTTGGTTTATTCATAAAAGTCAATGTTTATTTGGTCATTTGCTATGTGCAAGGGTGCCGTTCAGGTGTATGGCAAAGGACATGAAGTATATTTCGTGCAGAAAACAGTTTGAAAGGGATGGAAAAAATATTTTTAAGGGAGCGAAACCGCAGGCGTACATCATGGAGAGGAAAGATTTAATGTTTATTTTTTCGGGATACATAATACGTTGGCTGAATCGGCACCGATTGAGTTAAAATTTTGACATTTATACAACACGCTTCAAAGATTTATATCCATTTCTTGCAATCACAATGTGCCACAGCAAAGCGTGGCAGGGTACAGCTAGTATATTATATAAATAAACTAGCTGGTGACCGCGACTTCGCGTGGAATTTGAAAAACGCTGCTTTATTGTGTAATAATAATAATAATAATAATAATTTATTTCATAAACAGTGTTTTTGCACAGTACATGGTTTTACAAATATTACTGTTGTGTGTTTGATGTGCCTGGACCAGGCAAAATTTTATCGGGTTTTTCTGAGAGAAAAAATAGCCTAAGTTACTCCTTATATGGACAGCTACTTGGTAGTAAAATATTATCAAAATCGGATCAGCTGTTTTGAAGATTACCCGGAACTAACAGAAAGACAGGTAGACAAAAATATTTAAACTGGTTTTTAGGCATAGGTATCGTCCAAATAACCGTGTGAGCATGAAAAAAAACCTATTATTTTGACATTACAAACAGACACTTCAATTTTATTTATTTGTATAGATACGAAGTTTAACATCAATACCTGTATACATTTACTCCTATAAGGCATTTGGTTTAACATGCGATCGCCTGAAACACAGGTTTATCCTAGTCCAGGCTGGCAGTGATTAAAGTTTCTGAACTAAATTTTATTATATTAATTAATAAAATATTACCTTAATTTTGCACAAGTGTTAATTAAGGGTTAACGAAACTACAGTTTACATGTATTTTAAATAAAAATATTCTACACTGAAAATATTATATTGTTTAAATAAATAAATATTAATATAAAAAAAAAAAATATACAAGCACTCACACAGACACACACATACTCACAGGAAAATCCGTAAAGGGGTAGGCAAAGATATATTTAACAAAAAAAATTAGTTAAATTTAGTTATATTTATAATTAGCTTTTGCCTATGGCTACGCCCGCATAAATATTGGTTATAGTGGTATAAAGGAGCCTATGTATATCTTTCCTCAAGAATCAAAGTATCTTAATACTATAATCTAAATAAAGGGTAGTTTATCCCAGAAAGTATACTTTAAAGGGGTGAGGGGGGTGGAAGTTGGTATGGGGCATCAAGAACCACTTAACAGATATAGATAAAATTGGGTATAAAGATACTTTGGTTGTTGAGGAAAGTCATATGCTATTTTTTACCGCGATGACCGACATTTACGCGGGCGGTGCTTCGTGCCAAAGCTAGTTAATTATATTAGTAGCTCATCAAAATTTGAAAACTGATCAGTTTTAAAAATACAATTACAAGTTTTCACATACTTGTTTTAATAATGATTTTACCAATGCATTCCAACTAGAATCTACCTCCATACCAAATTCCATCCAGAGGTGTTTTTACTCTAATACATCGAAATTATTGAATAGCAACCATTCCCATGTATTAGAGTAAAAACACCCATCTAAACTTTCACATTCATAATATAGTAGGAAGATAAAACATGTGATTACATTTTTAATAGGCTGTGTTCACACTTTGAAATAGACATTTTATCATAATACACCTATTTTACTGCAATCACAGAATGAATGACAGTTTTTTTTTTTTTAAATGTTGACATAAACCTTTGTACAAAGAAAAACTAACTGCTACAGGATCTCTCAACCGGTCAAAGTACAGGATCTAACAGAAGCAGATTAAGGTAGCTTAATACTTTATAATACACCCTGAATATTCTTAAAAATCTAATTCCTTACCATTTAGTAAATTAGGTTTTACTTCTTGTAGCGAACCATTTTTTTCCCCTTTGGCATCCTGCAACATAACATTCTTATATGAAATACTATTGTTTATTTACATAACAAACAACTGACATTTATAGTGTAATCATCATATATTTGCTATTAAGTAATATTACTTGATACAACGAATTAGATATTAATAATTTACCGTTGTTAGATCAAGTTTACATTAGATAACTTTCTAACCTTCATGTTCGAAAATGAATAACAACAAACCCTTGGCAAATCTTGTAATGACATGATATTTAAATTTACTTAATAAATTAATGTGAAACTCACCAAAGATACGTTGATATAGCTCTTGAAGTTTTGAACCAACTTTTTTTCGTTCATTTTAATCAAATAATACCGATATTTCGTTGACCCACTTTGATTGATTTCGACTGGTTTTCTCAAATAATTAATAAAAAGAACTCTATTTTAGTGTAAAAGGAAGGTGATAGTTAAGAAAATTAACAATTATCCGCATGATTTTACTGATTTTATATATCTTTGATAACAATCATTCGCGCAAACACTGTACTATCTGTTACCACTTCATTCACTATTACATCGATGAGTATCGCTTTTAAAAGTAATCACTATGATACTAAGCATAATTAATTTTAGAAATATCACAAGAAAACACAAAATTTATGATGAAGACATAATTTTTGTAATTTTCAAAATTGGATGACCCACAGCAACACGCAAACCATCAACGACAGTTAATTTCTTTAATTGCCAGATCAAATAAAAGACACAATCGAAACGTCAACAAGTCTAATTTACTTTTGGCAACACTTTTATTATTCGTTCAAAAAAAAACAAGAAATTCTGAAAAAAACAAAAATCCCGTAAGTTATGGTTTCATTATTTATTTATTCTTATGTACACAAAAAATATTTATAGATAATTCATAAGGAGAAAAATAGTCCGAAATGGGATTCTATTTTGCTATAAATAAAAGAAGAAAATACAGCCACACGTCATGTAAAGTCATGTTGCGTGAAACACCAATCAAAATTCGTCACATCACTATAACAATGTTCTGACGTCTTGAAATTTCGTTAATACCTATTGTCCGAATGTGATCGATACTGATAATATAAAATTTTCATATTGTATATCAAAGAAGCAGATCTACCAAAATGTTACAGGAAATAGGTCAATAACATTCTGAGAATTTGCTTGATCGACTTTAGTAGAGGATCTTTATTATTGATTGATTATGTATGTAGGGTTAATTGATACATTAATATTAGTTTACCACTATCCGGATTTTCTTTACATTCGTCAGTCGCCACACCGCAACAGCCGGTTTGACTTGTAGGGGGACAAGGTAGCCTGACGACCAGGTGAAGGTCGCGGGAAGATGCGGGCACCGCAGTGGACGTCTTTCGGCTGAGATAATGAATTATGATGCACAGGAAACTGATCTTAAGAATGCGATGTTAAGTAGGAGGTAAATACCCTGCACTGTGTATCTGTGTAGACATTGTGACTTGCTCACGCTCGTAAAGTCACATTACTGTACATGAGAGTGCGTCTAGTAACACTATGGCCCTTTCGATTTACTTGTAAACACGATACTGCACTACCATATAATAATCTGTGATTTCTGAAAAAAAAAACAGCAACCATAGACATTGATTGTGCATGTGTGCATGTCTGATAAAAAAATGGCGATTGTTAAATTTTTGTTGAGAGTTTGAAAGCACAATCCTCAAGCACATATTTATATCTTTAAATATTTGTTGGTGAAACTGTGACTATATATTCAAAAAATGGCTGACGTTTTGGTGGAGCGGAGACCGACCGCTCGGTTTTTCTGCCACAGGTGTAACGTTGAATTTTTTTTTCAAGGTGATTTGCAGGTAAAAATCAATAATTATTGTAAAATATCCCTATATAATAGTTGTAAAGTTATGGAAATTGATTAAATGTGGTTATTGTCAATTTATTTTCACGTAGAAAGTACACCATATTGGGCTATAAAAGTGAAATATTACTAATTAGAATCATTGTGATACTGAGTGCCGGCTCACAAAATTGCGTTATATTTTCTCGGAAAATTGTCGCGGGCATAGGCTAGACAGAAATTGACAATTTCACACAATTGCATCACTTTAATCAATCCATGAAATACAACCAGTGATAAAATCTTTGTTTATTTATTGACTAGCTACGGTTTTGCCAGATGTCACTGTAGATATTATCATTTTAATATTTGTATATTAAATTATCAACGTTTAAAAATCGAGACGTATTCTTGTAAGATAAAGCAACTTCTTGACTTATGAAGTACTGGACTACTGAGATTAGGATTTGTACATTTAATAGACGCAAAAAAGTACCAGCAGTATTATCTACTTTTGTTTTTCTGTTCTTATAAGATGTGTTCCAAAAAATTACATAAAACATTTAAAATTGTCAACTTATTACTAGGAGTTTGAAGAATACTTCTTTCTAGCTTTATTATTCTTGTTGAATATGCTTATGTGGATATCATAGACATTAAGGCTCAACTGATTGGAAACGGGTGGTTGTAGATCGGCACAGACATATAATGGATTAGCTTCATTTTTCTAAACATTTGACAAAACAGGTGCTTGCTATTGTCTGTGTTGATCTATGACTTTGGACAATTTCAACCAATTTTAAGAAACAATTCATTCAAAATATAGACAGTCCTTCACTGTCGATTGCAATGCAAATGATGTGATAACTATACATATAAGAGAAAGGTATCTTTGATGTAATATGTTAAAATTTCAGGATTACACATGCCCATACTGTGCTAGTGGTTTTATAGAACAGTTAGAGAATGAGACAGAGGGGATAGCGCTATCTGCAGATGACTTCAGCGATGCGGATATGAGTAATATTGACGATATGAGCAATATTGACGACATGAGCAACTTAGACGAATCAGATGATATACCCCACTTGATACAGGTATTTTTGTGTAATTTATTAATGAAAACTCTCATCATCATCATCACATCAACAGCCTTTAATCATCCACTACTGGTCATAGGCCTCTCCTTAGAAAGGAGGTTTTGGCTTAGTGTACCATGCTGCCATACGGGTTATATACGGTTTGTGACAAGTTTTTCCTTCTTACTTCAATGCTGTTGTCCTACATAGCTTATCTCCCTTACGACACCCATGGGATAAATAGGAGTTCCGTGTGGTGACCAATTAAGAATACTTAATGTCATTACCCCTATTCATAATATAAAATACCCTATGTTCTGCTGAAATTATCCAATTTGAAACAATGATATGTATTTATAATCTTTCTACAAAAACCTTTCATATTAGAATAAAAAGACATCCTTAGCACCTAAATAAGGTAGTATTAATATAAATAATCAGTTTTTACTATATTAAATAATTTTAGAGAGTGAACTGGCATTATTATTTAAACCAGCAATCAATACACAAAGTATTGATCCCGTATGTATGAATTCGATATGTATAGATGAATCCGGTTTTGTTTCCAGTTTCCAAGTTTCACAGTTATATGAAGTTTACTAAACACGTTTCTTCACTGTCAGTACATTTATTGATTTTTGCATAATATTACAAAACCATAAATCTTTCCAAATTATTTTTAAGTGAAAAACGTACTCAAGGCTAATATTAGAAAATTCAAACGCATAAACAGATAAGCTTCATGATATTTGTATTTAAAAGTATGAAGAAGAACGAGACATATGAACCGTATATGCTACGGCAGGAGCAAATTGTAGTTTTCACAATGTTTTGTGATTATTATTCTCTCTACCTGGGGTAGGTAGAGAGTTAAAAATGCAAAGCAAAAGATGTGGACTTGAATACTAATAGACAAGATATATGTAAAACGTAAGCCTGTTCTATGTGTTCTTGAAATTAAATACACCATTTAATCACTTTATTTGTGAGAGAGGGTAATTTCAGTAATAGTTAACTTGAATTGCAGCTGTGCAACTCTAACTATAATTGTTATAAGGATGTATAAGCAATAATTTCTATACCCCTATTCTCCTCTAGTTTTTCTTTCAATACACTTAAATTTTCTATCTAAAGTCCCTCAAGTCTTGCAAAATGTGGGCATTAGCCTCTGCCTTTATAGCTCTAGGCTTGAGTGTTTATGTGTGTACAATAATGTTTTGAGAAAAAAAAATTGATTATAAAGTAAATATGATAACATCATGTGGGCATAGTGAATATGTGATTCACCATATTCCCTATATCTATATCTGTTTCCCATGTTTTCATTCTATTAAAATGTATGCCCAGGTATTGTACTGGTTTTTGGAGAAGAATGTCGATTTCAAGTTTAATTGCAGTGCCGTTTTTCTTTTTCAAAGTGATGATAGTCAGTGAAAACTTATGTAAGAATGCTTAACTCCAGTTGTCTGTGACATGGAAATTATTGCAACTTTTATATCATATTCATTTGATGAAAAGATTGGTTTTGGTCACTGTGAATTCACTAGTGATAAATCTTTACTTAGATTTGGTCATAGACTTAGATTAAGACCTTTCGCGAAAAGCGTAACATTAATAATATGTCGCATTGATGTTGTAGATGAGTGACAGGTGTGATGAAGTGACTTTTAAATCATATGATTAATCACAAGTGATTCTGATTTTATCCCATGCCTACTGATATAAATACACTCATATTGCGTCAAGTGCTTCTTGGACTTCCAAATCTACAGTAATATTATAAAGGTGAAGTTTGTTTGTTTGGACGCGCTAATCTCAGGAACTACTGGTTCTAATTGAAATTGTTTTATTTTTTTAATATATGATAACCCTTTTATTGAGGAAGACTATAGACTATTTAACATCACGCTACGACCAATAGGAGCCGAGATAGAGAGAGAATAGGATTCAATGAAAAATGATGCATGAACGGCCAAAATTTATTTCTTTTGAGAGATACAGACGTAATTGTCAACTATAAATTTAAATATATACGTTGTGTGACCTCATTAAGTTCGTATATCGCGTGCGGTATAACGTCATATGGTTGAGTTGATAACAAATGTTTTGAAAACCACCACAGTCCATGTTATTGGCAGGAATGACGCAGACGTCGATCGCACGCGTCTCCTACGTAGCCGCTATATTTATTAATAGATTAAATCGATTTTACAAACCTTTGTTATAATGGCCATTGTTATCAGTGTAAGATGCTTTGATAACATTATACTTCAGTACTGACTAAATGAATATGTATTTACTTTGTAATATTGAGTTGACAATATTTTCTATTGTTCTTTTTAATAAAGCTTTCGTTTTAGGCTTAGACCTAGTCTTAACAGACTAGGAACTGCTTCGTTTTTCTTACTCATCTTGTCTGTTTAAGGGATTATTCTCCTACCCGTAAACTCCTTTGAATAATATTTTAGTAGCTAAAGTTGTTACAAATTACAGCCTGATTTACTTTTCGTGTATGATTATAATTCAATTACAAGCAAAATCTATATTTCATAAAATTATATTTTTTTATGGGAAATAACGGCGCTCACAATAGATCACGTTTATTCCCGTAAACAACATTACTAGCTTTTGCGTGTGACGGTTTATCGCGGTAAATAGTAGACTATGTCCTTCCTCAAGAATCCAGAAATCCAGTTCCAGCGGTTACTGATTTCCCATACAAACGCCCACCCTCCCTTTCATCCCCTTAAAGGATGATTTCTGGTATAAAATTTATCCTGTCCTCTCCTGGGACTCAAACTATCTCTATACAAATTTTATCTAAATCGGTTTAGCGGTTTAAGCGTGAAAAGTTAACAGACAGACAGACACACACTCGAATTTATAATATTAGTACGGATGGAACGCGATAGTTTAAATTTATATCTCTAGTTGCTAGAATGTAGGAGGTTAGGGTTGTACATCTGGTTCTCGAACTGGCTGTTGCTGGACAGTCTGACCTCTAGAACAATGTTTATGGCATACTAATATATATGTATTTAACTTTGTAATTCCAGGGCCCACAACCGATGTTAAACGATTTAGCATTTCTAATGTCTGGCGGTCGACTACGGTGAGTTTTTATTGCATATCTGTCTGGTCTGGGTGTTCTTTGTGTCCGTTTCATTTTATGTTTGTAAAATCTCTCGCGACACTAGACATATTCCTAGTGCTAGAGTTGTCTTTAAAAAAATATCTGAAATAAACCACAAATATTAATCTCTTTTGGACAAGAATATAATTTTGAAACTATAAAGTGAAGAAGTAAAACGGTTGTGTATTTTGACCCAGGGGCACAGGTCGTCGCGAAACATTAATGGAACAGCTCGTGTGGATGATCGGGGGCGCGCGCCCCGCCAGCGGCGCGGTCACGGCCGGCGCGCCCTTCGTGCTCGTCGGAGCGCCTGGAGACTACGTGTTTGGTGGCGAAGGTATTTTTCTCTTAATTGAATAAGTTTTAACGGTTATTTCTAGCTAGTTCTTTAAAAGTTAGCCTTCTAAAGGTTTTAAGTTCGAATCAAGTAATTAAAGGACATGGCATTTGATCAGCGACTGTACATATAGATTAGAGAGATGCCACACGATGCGTTGACGGTGCGGTGCATTGCAATGAATTCGAAGTATAGGATGACACACAGGTGGTGCGCCGCATTGCACCGCTGTTTAGAAGATATTGAGATAGTCTATATCCATATTAGCAATCTATCTACTCTATATACTCTCCAAAACATTTTAATCCATGCTAAGGTTACCTGGAAGAGATTGCTCTTAGCAATAAGGCAAGTACATAAAAATATCAAACATGTACAGGTAAATTAGCTTGGAGAAATTTTTGCGTTTGTAGTAGTGTATGGTACGGACAGCGTAAACTGGTTTATTCTGGTTTTGTGCGTGTTTCCACTTTCCACTATCAAGTGACGATTTTTTGCTTTAGATTGAAATATCTCGGAAACGGTGCGTCCTAGGCCAAAAATAACAAAAAATTTGACCCCCCCCCCGTAAACCCCCCGGAGTTTTAAAAACCTAGATGAAAGGAAAAAAAAAATTAAAATGTCGGTCTCTCCTCTTTGAAGTTTCACTTCTATCGTGTGTGAATCGCACACACACCTTTTTTTTTTATAAAGTCAAAACCTTTTCCTTTAAAATAAAAACTTGTTTTTATTGAAAACAAAAATCAGAGTGTTGCTAGGGATAAGTATAAAATTAAATAGTAATGTTAGGATATCGAAACATTTTTGTATAGGCCAGAACGATATAGTGGAAACGCGCTCTAAGATCTGAGTAATATACACACCACTACATATGCAAAAATTTCTCGAGACTAATTTCACTGTAGTTTGATATTTTTATGTACCATAATACTTGTAAAATGTGTGCAAATAAAGAGTTATCTATCTATCTATCTATCTATATTATCGTCTTTTACAACTTACGACTGCACGGATGGCGTAGGGGTTTAAGCGGTCGCCACGCCGCTTCCTACTGCGCTGAGTGTTGTGGGTTCGATCCCCACACACACTTTGTGTGATCCACAAATTGTTGTTCTGAGTCTGGGTGTTCTTTGTGTCCGTTTCATGTATGTTCAGGATGTACATATATTCCTAATTCGGGAGTAGTCCTTTAAAAAATAATAATATAAATATATAAAATTACGGGAAAAAATACACGCTACGAGCAAGCACGTACATTTTACAATATCTGCGGTCTGCGAGGTCGCTGTGGCAGCGAGGGCCGCTCCGGCGTATACACCCTCGTCTTGGACCGAAGTGTGTGTGCGGCGCATCGCCGCACTACATCATGTTACCACATGGTATACCTACCATGGACATTAGTATGTATTACGCCGCAGCGGCACCGCTCAGACATAACAAGACATGGAGCCGCCGCACTGCATCGTGTGGCTTCTCCTTTAATTTGTAAAACAAATTTGAAAAATCTTATAAGACACCATTTAAATAGTTCTCGTTGCAAATAAACTTCAATATTGATCGTTTGTAAAGGGACTGAATATGGAACCTAATGTCTGTCTAATCACCATGCGCTAGAGCGCTTTTTACAGCGATTGTCAGCAAATCGATACTTTCGCGACGCCGTTATGGATGTAATTAAGTTAAGGGGAAGTTAGTACTAAATTGGCTCAATCTATACTTGAACGTATAAACAGATTTGATGATGATATAAAATTTAGAAAAATAGAACTAAGACACCCAGCATTTCAAAAGGTCTTTTTTGTATTTTATATAGTTTAATATAATCTTAATAAGTACTTGTAAACATAGTAACTACTGCTCACTATTCTTAAAATGTACTTTGACTTACAAAGTTAACAACAATTGTGGTAATAAATACTTTTTAGGTAAAAAAAAAGTATAAAGCAAACACAAAAAAAAGTTAAAAATATATAGAAAGCACTAAACCAAAAATACTAAACAGCCCTTTTTCTTAGTTTTGATACACGTACACTTTTCGTAAAGAGCTTTATTTGAAAACAAAGTAAATGCTAAGTTCCCCGGTCTGTTGAGCAAATTACAATTGCTGTTCCTTAGACAATATTTGTTTATTTATTTATTTACTAGCTGACCCTGCAAACGTTGTTTTGCTATTTACATTATTTAAATATATTTTTTTGAATTTCTTAAAATCCGTTCTGATCTCTACTCGGTGAAAAGAATATTCCTACCAAATTTCAAGTCTTTAGCTCTAATGGTTCCAGAGATATCGTGATGAGTGACTACATACGTGGAAATCTCTTATATATATATATAGATAACTTTATGCATTTTTGTACATCGGCGGACTTAATGCCCAAGGTATTTTCTGCCAGTCAACCTTTAGGTAGTGTAGAATTCGTGAGCGGTAGGCGCATATAACCATTATTTTTAATAGAACTAAAAAGGTATTATGGTTCCTTAGTTATATCCGGCATTTTGGTTGTTACCCCACTTCAGGCTTTTAGAACCTTTTATTATTAAAGTAAGGAATACTACGAATAATACTACGTAAAGAAATGTACAGCTCAAGAGATCAAAACTGATATCACATAAAATAGTGCGGTAGTCTACCGTGCGATGTGGAGGTACAGCATGGCAAAAAATACCTGGCGTATAGTTCGCCGCACAACTAGAGAAATTGAGACTAATAACGCAGAATGGTTTTGGAATAATAATAACTTGTAAATGCATGAGTGAAGAAACGAGTTATTTAGAATTAACACAGATGTAAACTTATAATAATACACTCACAGGTAAAACCTACACATGTAAGCTTCTCCATGTCGATTTGTCCATCCAAAGGTTGCCTGTAAGAGATTGCTATTAGCAATAAGGCCGCTCATTAAACATATCCATCTGTAATATTTAACCAACTTACTGTAATTGGTGTACAATAAAGCATATTCTATTCTATTATTTTGCTGTGTTTACACTGACAGGTAGCTGTATTTTATAGGTTTTACTGTAAATCATTCTCATGGTTTTAAAGAGTGTATGAGAAGACATAACGAAGTACGTTACACCACTTTTTAAGTGTTTTTATCTGATAACCAGGCAAACAGTATACAAAATTAGGAATTTTGATAATAGAAAATTTTAAACAACTTTAAAATTGAACATTTCAGGTTTGGACGCCGTAGTAACACAACTACTAGGTCAGCTAGAGAATGCGGGCCCTCCGCCGTTGCCGCGGGATCAGATCGCCTCGATCCCCAGTGAAGTTGTGGCAGAATCAGACGCCATAGCCAACACATCATGTAGCATCTGTTGGGAAGACTTTGAAACTGGTTTGTATTACCCATTGTGACGTTCTATTAAGTTTTGTCTAAACTCAATGTAACATTGAGTTTTGACAAAACTTAATTAGCTTAGTTTAATTAGTTTTAGTAGTCATTTTTTTTTGTGTTTATAAAATCTTATTTCAGTGTTAAATTACGATACACATATACTGTAATTCTATTGAAACTTGATAAGTGTTATCAGAAGCTTTTTTAAATGGAAGTTTGCAATGCCAAATTTTTTATTACCAGGGTTTAATACCAGCATTATTGGTAGATTTTCTTTTTCTGAAAGGTTTAGCTTATTTTGCTATCTAAATCGTCACCTAATCCTCATCGTTCCTCGAGGTGGATGTCAGCGATGCTAGACAATGATATACGTCAATATCGCGTGCAGGTCAGACGGTGTCGCGGCTGGAGTGCGAGCACGTGTTCCACTCGTCGTGCATCACGCCGTGGCTGCAGCTGCACGCCACGTGCCCCATCTGCCGGCGCTCGCTGCTGGTGGAGGACACCCCACCACCGCTGGCGCCGCGGCCGCCCGTGACGGACGCGCCCGCGCCCGCCCCCACCGCCACCACCGCCACCACCGCCGCCACCGCGCCGCCCCTCGACTCCACGCAATGTAACTATCTCACTGCTTTTTTTACTGCTATCGATTTGTAACCACCGTCAACATTTTTGAAGTGAAAATTTTAAAAGCGATTGGTTGTTTTTGAACAAGAAACGAAAGTTTGTATTTTTTGAGATAGGAAAAAACCATTGAACTCGCGATACTGTTACCGTTACCGACACCTCTGTATATATGTTTTCACTTCTGTCGGCACTCCCGGAATGCCCATGTTTTCATTTCTAATGAAAACTTCTTTAGACGCGTTGGTCATTTCTGAACAACAAAAAAAAGAATGTATTTTTTGAGATGGGAATAAAACCATTGAAATCACGACACTGTTACCGTTACCGGTACTTCTCTATACAAGAATCTACATAAATTGGCCCTGTTTACACGAGATTTTAGTTTGAGTAGCAATACATTGATGACATAATTATATATAATATAAACATATATTGTGTATATACGTACAACATATATATATATTCATATCGGAACTTTTCGAATCGAAAAAAACAATCATTTTTGAAGTGAAAGGTTCTTTAGACGCAAAAACACCGTTACCGACACCTCTGTATATAATTTTTCACTTCTGTCGGCACTCCCGGAGTGCAACTGTTCAGACGGTTCAGTTAATGACTGCCACCGCTCATGAACTACAAATTAAAAGTCATAAGGCTCTCCGGTAATGTCATTCACTCGGAGAAAAACATTAAAATAAATCTGACACAGTTTTCTGTTAGGACGTGGTATTACTCTAGAGGAATCCGGGGCGTATATACTGAAACATAGCTTGCATATATTTTGTTTTTTGTATAATAATGTAAACATATATATTAAAGTGGTTTTGAAAGATGAGCTGAAGGAAGTGTCCTGTTGCAGCGCCGTACTCGCAGCTGCTGGTGCGGCGGATCCACCTGAGCAGCGGGCCGGCGTGGGAGGTGGGCCCGGTGGCGAGCGGCGCGGCGGCCGACTCGGCGTCGTCCACGTCCAGCGGCTCCGTGTCGTCCGCGTCCACGGGCACGCCCGGCGCGGCGTGGGCGGCCGAGCGCGGCAACACCACGTCCACCACGTCCAACTCCTCGTCCAGCCTCAACTCCACCGAGCGCGGCGCGCAGTTCAACATGGACATCGACTTCGACTAGGCGCCCGCCTCGTACGTTCGCTCGTGGCGTGCGCTGAACTTCGATAGTGGCCGTGTCCGTGAAGTGTCCAGTGTCGAGTGGCGTCGTCGGGTAGTCGGTCGAGGCGTTTATTTTCATTTGTATGTGTCAAATATTCTTCATATTGTAACCCGTGAGTGCGACCGTTGTATGAGATTTATGTAAAAATATATATGATACGGTTACTTAAAGTTCTTTTAGATGAGTAGTACTTGTGAAAGTCGCAGTCGGGCGCCTTCGGCTCGGCCGCCTTGTCGGACGGTGCCCCTGCCCCCCCCCCCCTCCCCCCCTCACGCCATGTGTCCGAGCCGACGACGCTCGCCCAGATTCCACTACGGAGGGGACATATATTTAAAGACGTGGGGTAGTTGAGAGTAAATTATTTTGCTAATATAAACGAGGTGTTGTGTGCAAAATAGTGAATAAATATTATCCTCGATGTGTACAAATTTTTTCAAGTGGGTAACTAAATACTGTTATTACACATATTCTCATAGTGTTGAGTTTTGTTTTGTAAATTTTGTAAATACGCATGTAAGTTTAAGAAAGTTGCTATAAGCTGTAGTATGTTAATACTCAGATAAATAGCTGAATATATATATTTCGCCAAATAAAGTGATTTTAAATTGGTTTTATTAAAAATATCCTTAAATTGTTATTGCTGGGAGCGATACGGTACTCGCTTTATGTTCTCGACGATGACACTTATTTTGTATATAGTGAATGTATTAAAACTTACTCTTTTTTCGATGATCAGTTTTGTTTATATAAACTAATTTTATAAGACCCACTTTATATGGGAACCGTACTTGTTTAGTGAAACAATAAAAACACGTGCAAAAGATAATTGTTTTATAAATGCATATAGTTTAGTCATTGTCGCTATGATTTCATAGGGTTACATGATGGTGGTCCACTGCTTTGTCTATGGCTCGCTGTCGTAGGTACCGGCCCAGCTCGTAGGGTGGGTGTAGGTCCGACGGCGACTTACTGGAGGAAGCAGTATGGCGACTATCCTGTACTAATCTCCGGTATTGTGGTGTCTATGGTAGTAAAATAACATATGTACAATGCGATTCGTTCAATCATAGTTTACACAATATGGGAAGTAATTAAACGATCGCAATCTCTACACGAATATAGAATGAGAATCAATATGTGATGATAATAAATTATTATAGAGACCCTCAAATAAATATGATGAGTTGCTTTTTTTTGTAAATGTGGTGATAGCATGCATTTTCTAATGAATAGGGATAGCTTGTATTTAATTTGATCTTACTTTGTTTAAAGTATGAAATTTATTCTTAAACATGATAAACTTTTTTTTTTTGACTTGATCAAAACTAGGGTCCAGTGTGCGGCCTAATTTAGCACAGTCTGCATACAGTTGTTTAATATTGTGTGATTTCGAATTGTATTTCCATGTCTTTCATTATATGTCTTTCATTCTGCTAATATCGAGGGTATTATAAGATCACAATAAAATTTGATAAATGCATTAAAATAAAGAATGTAAGGAGACACTAGTGAGATTGAATTTACATCATGTACTATAGTGACAAATGTTTACTGACGATCATTTATGTTTACTAGATATCATTGTATGAAATATAAGTGTTCTGTGAGCGAATGAGTAAATTATTATTTTCTTAATAAATTCCTTTGGACTGAACTGTATATTCTATTTGTCTTTTTGTCAGCTTTGTAATTATGCAATATTGATTACTAACATGCATAGGACACAATTAAGAGTTGTAAATAATTTAAAAACATATATAAGTATGTATGTATATGGGAATTAACACGCTTCGACATATAGGGCGGGTAGACAGGAGTGTACCACAGCATCACAGAAAACCTTTGTTAAGTAATCAGTTGTTTTTGAATCCCAAATAACTCTGGGAGGGAAGATTTTAAGTTGGAAGTGTTACATGGGTGGCGGAAGTCACCATCAGTTAACCCTCGTTTATGCTCTGTACCAAAACAATCATACCTTTGATTTAATTGATCAGGTTACCTGATACCTATTACGTAGTCGCTTGATTCCCCTAAATATACATAATTATATGTCATTGAACGAGAATTTTTAAAGTGAGATATCTTTTGTAAGTTTAATATTAAAAAGTTATTCAGTATTAGAATTTAGAGTTTCAGTCGAGAGAAATAATTCTCAACTTTTTGACAACATGATTATCTCGTTGTTAGTTATCTATGTTTATTAATAGTAGGCAAGAATGGATTTTGATAGTAAGTCGGGCACAAACAAACACCACGCGTTTCTTAAGAGTAATGCCATTTAAGATTCCAAGCCCCTCACTAGGTGTCGCTACAATGTATTTCGGCTCTACTCTGCATCGCACATGCATATTGGCTACTTGTTATAATATAAAAAGTAAGGTTTATAATGGGTTTTCGTAAAAAAATAAGCTGTAAGTACAGTCAGTCATAATTAGAGCTGCAGTTGAAGTTTGCTCTAAATACTGAAAAGCATATAGAGTAGGTAATGAATTATTTTGAACTGACCAGTCTTCGTGTAATGTTGAATATATTCTAATTAATAAAACAAACACATTAATTTAATGGATCTGCCCCGGCTTTTTTTACTATTTTCTTCCAGACCATTATTAGCAACAGTAGTCAGCAAAAATTCTTAAAACCAAAATATTTAAACAAATTTTAGTTTTTAGTTGAATTAAATGAATATAAATTTCTACTCGTAAAATTGTAGAAATATAAAAAGTTGTACACAAATACCAATCAAATTTTAATGGTTTTGCGTTCGAAGACAAGTTTATAATCTTCAGACCTAGTGGCTTCCCTGTCTGTCATTCAAAGTATGTGGTTTTTCTGTAATTTTTTTACAACATGACACTAAAATGTAGGGCGAGTGGGCCAATCCACTCGTCGTGGGCTACTTAAAATATTTTTTAGTATTACTGTGGGAATTAGATATAAAACAGCTGATTATAGGTACTCCTGTAACCAGAAGGCTCTTAATAAAAGTTCGGTCTCAATTCAATTCCGATCTGTCATAAAAGGTATTTGCGTAGTAAAATATTAAAGTATTACTAGGACTAGCAGATTACCGATTCAATTTTCGGTTAACATACGATATTATTACATTATAGTCAACGTTGGATATTTAATAATGTACTACGAAAATGCCTTTGATGACAGTTGTGAGATCGAAAGTTGATCGGAACTGAATTGAGACGGAACTTTTATTACGAGAATTGGCCTTCAAGCTCTGGTAGCCATCAGTAGTGCACTTGGGTGGGGAGTGAACCGACACTGTTAAGAGATCTGATGATGTCACAGGAAGTCCGGTTTTTAAATCTTACACAAATCATTACTCAGCTACCCGCCAAGAAGCGTGTTTGTAAATTAGGCAGCGGCCTTTAAACTGACATAATAAATCAAATAATTTATGAACAGTAGTGAGATATACCGTCATGATGGTGATAGAAAGGAGAGAAGTGTCTCCAGAATTTGAAGAAGTACGAATGAAAGTAAGTAATAAGAGGTCTGTGTTATATTAATTATGTATTTAATTACTAGTGTTATCTTATAACTTGTAAATTTTTATTTTACTATACCGTCTTATAAGTAAAACATGAGTTTATAAAATGAACCTATAATGGTGTTGATTGTGACATATGCCCATAAATAAAGTCTTCATAGTAATTTTCGTTTCATTTATACAAAAAGCATAAATTTTAGAATGCAAGCTAAAACAGATTACCTTCACTTTGTTAAAAAAAAATTGAAAAACTGATTTGGAGGAAAAAAGTTAATTGCTTTTTTTTTTAAAAGAACTTCTGCACTAGGAATATATTCTGTGTCGCGGGGGACTTTACAGACGGATACAAAGAACACCCAGACTCAGAACAACAATTTGTGGATCACACAAAGTGTTGTCCCATGCGGGGATCGAACCAAGAACACTCAGCGCAATAAGAAGCGGCGAGGTGACCGCTTAAACCACTACGCTATCCGTGCATCCGACGTTCTGTCAGAAGGTTACGAGAGTTTCCAGAAAGTTTTGCAGTCTGAGGCTGACGATAAGATTAGGACATTGCAAGCGATGCACGAGGCTCGATGTTAGTACTTGGAAAAAAAAACATGTCGTAATGGCAATATTTAGGCTGCAATCCTGGATGTAATCAATGGTGTAATGTCCAATCAATGTTGGTTTTTGCAAGTATATTTTTACAAAAACCAACTATTGAACATCGTCGGGAGCTTGTAAAATCGCTTTTAAATCTAATTTGGCCATTGGAAAAAGAATAAAAGGCATCATGATGAGAGATCTGTAAGAGAAGTTGTGATCAGAGGAAAAGATAAGTTAAAGATTGAAACACATTTGCCTGTACTAGACATACCCGAGGTCGTAGGTTCGATTCCCACCCAGGAAAAATATTGTGTTAAGAGCACGGTCATTTGTTTTGTGCCTGGGTGTAATTTATCTATAATATTTATGTATATAGAAATATATACGTATGTTTATCAGCAGTCTGGTTATCATAGCACAGGCTCTGCCTTGTTTGGGTTTAGACGGTCATGTGTGAGATGTATGATATTTATATGAACAGATTTCATGAAAAAAAATAACAGAACACTGTGAGACGGTCTCATCTCATCTACTGTACCTAATGACACTTAGGTAAATCATCACTTAACTATAACTATTAAGACCTACAGTAGAAGTAAACCCTAATATAAAACGTTTGCTGTAAGTTCCTGAGGAGTTAAGTATCAGCTCGGTGAGGTTGCCATTACTCACAACCCTTCATCGACTTACAAAGAGCTGATAAACTTCAAAAGGGTAAAAAGTGGTCTGGAGATTGCATTGCCTAAGGGCCCCGACATGGTTAATCCGACCCTGCTTATTCTTACATTAATATATACATATTGTTAATTGGTACAATATTATTATTATTTATAAATGAAACTAATAATTTAATAACAAGATACAAGAT